GGGGTGCTATTTGTTGCAAGCATCTTTTCACTAATTGGCGAATTTCCACCTGAGAGAGGCTAGGCTCTCAATCCTCTAACATTATCCTTCTGTTTCCTTTGTTTATCGTGTTCATTTTGGTTCCTTGAAAGTTGAATCATTAGAATCATTTGAGAAATTTTGTTTGCATCAATACAGTGAAGTTTTAGGGTTCTATTGGTTTTATTTGTCATTTGGTTGTTAAAGAGTTGCACCATGGTTTTTGAAATCTAAATCTTCTTTTTTTACTGTATATATTTGTTCAGCTAGTAAAAGGAAAGTTGCATTTATTGTAACTATTGCAAAGAGGGAACACGAGAGATCAGATTTAAATGTATTTTTTCTATTTGTTTCATATGCTTCAAGTTGTTTACTTTTTCATTTTTGAAGTTATAATTTAAAATTGTTGTTCATAACGTAAAATGTTCAGTCTGCAGTTCGGAATTTAAGATCATAGCTCAAGCCTCCATCAAAGCAGGTATTTAAATATTTTTTTCTCTTCTAATTTTTATAGTAAAATCAACTGATTCTGACTTTTAAAAGTCACATTTGAAAAATAATTAACTACATTAATATGTTTAAACTATATGAGTACATCTTTAAATAATAATAAGGTATGATTTTTATTGGTTTTGTGAAAAAATTTGTTGGGAAGGCTATTACTTGATCAAGCAATTTACTAAGAGTTTACATGTTTAATGGTATCTGGAATAGACCCTAGGTGATATAAACATATAATAGTTGTTATAAACTTTTTTTTTATATACTCATAAAAAGTAAACAATTTAAGATATTTGAATAGAATACATACTTAGAAAGCTGCACTTAGAAATGAATATAATTAAGGACAAAGAGTAGTTAAATTCTAATACTTTTGTCATTAAATTACTCAAGTTGTTGGTGTTATTTTGCTATGTTCATGTTTATTACTGAAGTTAATCACTGATGTAACTCACATCCTTTTTAACACATGGAAACAAGTGGAAATTGTTGAATGTGAAGCCACAGCTGGTCAAAAATGGCAGGAACAATGTGAAGTTGTGAAGCCACAATTGTTGAATGTGAAGCCACAATTGTTGAATGTGAAGTTTTTTCAAAGGTTGGCTGAAGACCCGGTTGTGTTTTTTGACTACTTCTGATTTCCATCTCTATATAAGAGATCCATCTGTATTTGTAAAACTTGTATCTAGTGTAACACAGAAAGAGTGCAGATTAGCACCAAGAAATGTAAATTCCTAGTTACCGGTGGACGTAGGTTAGAGAAGGACCGAACCACGTTAAATCCCTCATGTTCATCCTTGTGTTCTTGTTTTTCGTGAGCTGTGTGTGTTTAGAGTCGTGTGTTAAGTGTCTCGATCCTAACAAGTGGTATCAGAGCCTTGGTTTAGCTCCAAAGGGTGATTTTCAGTTTTTTGGTCGAAAATTTTTTTTCGTCAAAAACGATTTTGGTGTATACCATTGGAAAGGTCTCGTTCCGAAGATTCCGAAAATATTTTTTTCTGAATTTTTTGACCACCGGAAGACGTCCAAAATCGCCAGTCAAAGGTTTGCCGGAATAGTGACCGGAAAACCAGTTGCCGGAGAAGACGACACTGTAGCGCCTGAACTTGCCGGAGAAGATGACACTGTAGCACCGAAGTTCTGCCGGAGAAGACGACACTGTAGAGGTACTGTAGATGTACTGTAGCACAACGTCAGCGGTGACGTCAGCAGACACTGTAGCACGACGTCAGCGGTGACGTCAGCAGACACTGTAGCAGGCACTGTAGCGACACTGTAGCAAAACTGTAGCAGATTTGAAAATTTGCAATTTGACCCCTGAATTTCCAAAAAATTGCAAAATAGGTCATTGTTCTTTCAGAAAATGGCAGAAAGCAGTAAGCTTCAGATTGAGAAGTTTGATGGGAAAGATTTTGGTTGGTGGAAGATGCAAATTGAAGATTTGCTCGTGCAGAAAGACTTGGACGCAGTTTTAGGTGAAAAACCGGAGGCGATGACACAGGCAGACTGGAAGACTTTGGATAAGAAGGCCAAGGCATTTATTAGACTGACGTTGTCAAAGGATGTTGCCTTCAATATTTTGAAGGAGACCTCGGCAAAGGGAATCATGGAGCCATTGTCTAATATGTACGAGAAGCCGTCGGCAGCAAATAAAGTCTTCCTGATTCGGGAACTAGTCAACACGAGGATGAGGGAAGGAAGTTCAGTTACAGTACACATCAACAATTTGAACTCGATTTTATCCAGACTTGGGTCAGTGGGAATAAAATTTGAGGACGAAGTTCAAGCTTTACTACTGTTATCATCATTACCTGACAGTTGGTCCGGAACAGTTACAGCCGTTACTAGTTCCGCAGGATCGAAAGAGCTCACTTTTGAGGGAATTCGGGATTTAGTTCTAGGCGAAGACGTCAGACGAAGAAATTCCGGGGAATCATCAAGTGAACAACTGAATGCGGTCAGAGGTAGAAGAAATAACAGAGGTAGTGGGAGCGGGAACAGGAGAAGGAGTCAGTCGAGGACTCGAAATGATGTGACTTGTTGGAACTGTAAAGAGGTTGGACATTTCAGGAATCAATGTCCAAAAGACAAGAAAGAAGTTAACGTTGCAGTAGACCATTCAGATGATGATGTTTTGATCTGTAGTGTGGAGAGCAATGTGGATTCCTGGGTTATGGATTCGGGTGCTTCATTTCACGCTACCCACATCCGTGAAGCACTGCGGAATCTGAAAGAAGGGGATTTTGGTAAGGTAAGACTGGCGAACGATAAGGTTCTTGATGTGACGAGCATAGGTGACTTAGATCTGAAGATTCCAGTCGGTCCATGGACTTTGAAGGATGTCCGGGTAATTCCAAGTCTGAAGAAACAGTTGATTTCTGTTGGGCAGTTGGATGAACAGGGACACGAGGTTAAGTTCAGGAATGGGCAGTGGAAGGTTGTCAAAGGAAATCTTGTGATAGCTCGTGGACATAAGAGGGGTTCATTATATATGGTCAGTTTACCGTCTGAGGGAGTAACCGTCCCAGTTCAGAAGAAAAACAAAATCCGGTTCATAGAGTCTCGTGGACAGAAGAAGGTTTGCTTTGCAGATGGCAAACCCAGAGTCACAGGTCAGATTCAGGTTGAACGTGTTTGGAACGGTTCAGAAAACCAGTCAAGGGCATTCATAGCAGTGGGAGCACGGGCTTTGTTTCAGCTAGAGTACCCAGAACACAGTGGGTTAAGAGAACCAGTATTCCATCTGTAAAAGTCTCTCCGGATTATCTGCTTCACATGGAGAGTGTCGTTTGTTCTCAGGATGTTCCAGGATCGGGCAGTTCATTTCAGTGGGAGTTGGTGGAGACAGAGAATAGGTCAGTGACAGACTTAGCCATGACTGACGCGTTGGAGCTAACGAAAGCTTCAACTGGCCTTCAGGTTAATTGAAGAGAAGGCCAGGGTAACTAGGAAGGAGTTAAGATCAAATACAGATGCACAGTTGAAGCACAGGTGAAGATTGTTCTGTGGCTTCAAGTGGGAGATTGTTGAATGTGAAGCCACAGCTGGTCAAAAATGGCAGGAACAATGTGAAGTTGTGAAGCCACAATTGTTGAATGTGAAGCCACAATTGTTGAATGTGAAGTTTTTTCAAAGGTTGGCTGAAGACCCGGTTGTGTTTTTTTGACTACTTCTGATTTCCATCTCTATATAAGAGATTCATCTGTATTTGTAAAACTTGTATCTAGTGTAACACAGAAAGAGTGCAGATTAGCACCAAGAAATGTAAATTCCTAGTTACCGGTGGACGTAGGTCAGAGAAGGACCGAACCACGTTAAATCCCTCATGTTCATCCTTGTGTTCTTGTTTTTCGTGAGCTGTGTGTGTGTTTAGAGTCGTGTGTTAAGTGTCTCGATCCTAATAGAAATTAGTTTGTTTGTTGGATGTGAATTACCTAAGTAGTAACTCATGTATAGCCTTTTTCAAACTAGTGGAAATTGTTTTGTTTGTAGAGCAAATCAAAACATAGAAAAGAAGGTTGGAAGATAACAAAGTGATTGCCTCTCCAACAAGAAGAGCTATGATGACATCTTTGTTAAATAGGTGACAATTCATTATATTATAGTTTTCTTGTAAATCATTGTTTCATAGTTTTGGATTTAAGATTTTATGTATTTATTTATTTATTTATGGTTTTAATGTATGTCGAATATTAGATTTTTTTTATTTTTATATTTGTCGGTTTTAATATATAGATTTGATGTATGTTTCAAGATTTTATTTTGTTGTGAATATGTAACTATTTTTAATTTTTTCATGAATTTATAAAAAATATTTTTGTAATGCCAAATCCGTCGCTAATCTGTAACAGGCAATCTGTTGGTAATCCGTTAATTAGTGAATTATTTTTATACTGTCGGTAATCCGTTAGCAGTTATTTCGTTGGTAATCAGTTGCAAAAGCATTCTGTCGGTAATCTGTTGCAAAAATATTTCCGTCGGTGATCGGTTACTAATTACCGATGGAGAAATATGTTGCTAAAATTTGTAGTAGCCTGTCGGAAATCCGTTACAAATAGTTAGCGACAAGAATATACTGACGCCTTTGGGTCTGTTGCAATTCCGTCGGTAAAGCCTATTAGCGATGGATACCGACGGTTTTGGCCGTCGGTAATGCTCTTTTTTGTTGTAGTGTTAGTACAATACACAAGATAAAAACTACCAATTTCACAAAATTAAAACGAAAAAAAAAAAATATGAGTTGAATCTCTTCAAATGGAGCACAACCCCAGAAAATAAAACCCACAAAGCTTTAGCGTTTTTAAAAGATACGATTTTCATCATAACCCAAATCAATATCTATACATTACTCTCTTAAAAAAAAATAGAAACATTTCTTTCACTAGACTTGAAATTAAAAATAAGAAGACTCCTTGAATAGAAAAAAAGGCTAAAAGACAATGGTTGAATGCAAAATTAAAATTGGCAAATGATGCAGCAGCTCACCGAATGGCAGATGCTACCCAAGCAAGGCTGTCAACATACTCCACGATTTTACTCACACGGTAATTCTCATAAAAAGATTTCTTCAAGATATTATCCTCTTGTGCAGCTGGATTGTACAAAAGAAGATGACCGCTGTCATTTACAATACAAATCTCATTGTGTGATGAATATCCAAAAAAGAAGCTACTGATACACTGTGAGGAGACATTATTGCGCTTCACCCATGATTCAGCCACCCCATACTCATCCATCACCCACACATCTATGCTACCCCCACCCTTGACCATAACATCACACAAATCTTTCCAGCCCAAACTCCCAAAAGTTTTGATCGGTTGTTATCTGATGATAGAGAATCCGGAAGAGGTATCTCACGGAATGTCTCTAAACCCAAATCAAAAGCCACTATCATGTATACATTCCCCTCGTCACTATAACCAAGCCAATGAAGATGGCCGTCATGCCCATCCACACAAAGGTAATCAGGTTCAAAAATCTTTGTGACGTGAGATGGAAACCTTTGAGTACCGAGCTTCCAGGAACCCTTTCTCATGCTATAAACCTCTACTTATAGCATCTCTTTAACAACATATGATATAGTACACAATCTTGAAGGTGGTCCAATAAGGCCTTGAAGCTTAACAACTTTGTAATCGTCAGTTTTGGGATCATACCCGAACCGAAAATAGATGGTATTACCACTGCAGGAGGGCGTAGAATATGGTGGGAGAGTTGAAACAGCAGAGAGAGAAGGGGTTCCAAATGTGGATGACATCATCACCATAACAAGAGCATATTAATCCGTGAACAGAACCTATAATTTTAATCATGCTGGTAGTCTGTTCAGCTTTGGGATTGACCGGTGGGAATTTGATGAAATCTGTGGGTACATGATGGGGAGCTTGACATGGGTGTGCTGTGAACGGTTTATGGTTAGAATATGTCTTTTTGTAGAAGACCAGGAGAATTCGATCGTTGTTATTGATGGAACTATTGAGGTGGGATTTTATAAGGGAGGGTTGAGATAAGAAGGCATTCCAAGATTTGGAAACACACCTCAATTTAGCAAGTTGTTTGGCCAATAAGCGGATGAATATGTTTGATAAAAGATCGTCCGGGAGGTTCTCCATAGTCGTTGGGTGTTGGATTTCAGACCTGTAGCAGCAATATATAATACATCAGTAGAGTTATGAACTAGAGCGTAAATAATAAAAGTGTAGGATTGTACTTAAAAAAAGACCAACCTAGTAAAGCTTTTCCTTTTTAGTATTTGTTTACGCTCTGGTATCAACGTAATAGCACAATTCCCACCTTCATTTGATAACCTAGTTGAATTCTTCGGTTTAAGAAAATAAAAGTGCATTAATGTTACACTGATTTCAGACGAAATGGATGGATAAAGAACCAACACAGCGACATAAGAATACACATTGCTAAATGCTAATAAATTCATGAAGAGAAAATTACTATCATCATCAATTTATACTAAGCCCCCTCCATCTAATGCGCTAGGGATTCCCGGGTATGGACTTGAAACTATTTTTATATTAACAGAGGAGAATTTTTAAATAAGTTGTTTCCAACAATGTAATAGGTTCTTAGCTTAAGAGGTAGATGTGAAGAGACTGGATGTGTGAACTCCGGAAAACCAAGATAGCACAATCAATTTCGCCCTAATTAAGTACGTATCCAAAACAACATTGCATGGCTTAGTACTTCATGAACTCCACCACTATTGTCAATATTTATCATTTTATGGTCAGTTCCAATGATAAAAACATTTGCAACTCCCAATAGATAATAGATAACATTTTTTCATCACTTTGAGTAAAGGGCATCTGAGTTCAACTCATAGGAGGATGCCCCTCGGTAGTCGGTATTAGAAACAATATATAGAAATCAAGATCAAACCACCAACACAAGTTGAAGAAATATCATAAAAATGGAAAAAACAAATATTTTCATTATGCCCTCTGACTAAAATTAGCAAAACTCAAGAGACAGCTTACAATAATTTTCCAGCCTCCTGCGAAACATTATGGGGTTCTTCATCAAAATCTGGTCATATAAGTTTTTGTAAGCAGCAGTACATCATAAACAGAAATTCAAGTCAGGTATTCGTAAAATTAAAGGCTATTCATATGAATATCTTAAGTTCCATACAGACAGATAAGAACATTTAGAAACCCATTGCCACTTATCACTTATTATAAGAAAAATGATTTAGAGAAGCACGGCTATGAAAGACAATTGGATGCTTAGATTCATAACCTAGTCCAATGGGATAGTTCAACCACATGAAAACTATAATGTCAAATAATCTCATCAGTAAGCAAACTCTTCACGTCCAAAAGCACATTTTGCCCCTACTTTAAGGCCCTTGAATTCCCAATACCAACAATTTTAGAAAATTTAGCACAATTCAAAAGTTTAAAAATCCAAATAAAACAAAAAAATTTTAAAAAAATCAAGAATATTATTCATGCAACACAAAAAAAGGTTTATATGTACATAAACATAGACTTCACCTCCACGGTGATGAGACACATTGGCCAACTTTCACTGTCACAATAATACACCCCTCTATAATTGATATGGCAGACGGATTTAGGGAAAAAAAATTTGTACCATGTTCATCCCTAGTAAAAACCATTAGTAACCCTAAATTGGCTAATTACTTATACATAAGTGGATTTCTGCAGCCATATTGAACCTTACGCAGTTCATACATGCAGCAAGGACTATTCGAGCAATAGAAAACAAACATGTCTACAGAAAACTACCATACCTTATGATAGCCATAAGAAATAAGATAGGCCATAAATAGCCTGACAGCGCAACAAATAACTAAAACTTATGTAACTGAGAGCAACAGTTTTAAACCTGGACGGAAGGCCTTGCGACACTTTTCACCGTCTCCGCGACTTTCGTAGGTAGCTCATCCATCGCCCGCCGTCGCCATAAGGAACCTGGAGCTATCGAGGAGATGATTTCAGCAGAATAATGAAAGCGAGAGAAAAAGCCGGAGAGAGGAGAAAAATGCAGGTAGAAATCAGGGTTTTTTTTTATCGTGCAGGCTAAGAAAGTTCTAATGATATTTTAAGGTCACAAAAATAGGATTATTCACTAAAATACCATTAGGCGTTTGTATATACAAAGTATCCGTTGCACCCACCACACCAGTAATCATTATAAGTGTAAGTATATGCCAATTTATCTATCACATTCAATTACTTTAAGGTTGGATTCTCACAACTATATCCCTTTTATTTTTTTATTATTAAAATAAAAAAGATTTTTTTTAATTAATTAAAATGTAGAGTGAGATATAGAGAAATAGAGAAGGAAACAAATTGATTGTTTGTGGTGGTTGGTGTTCTCCACCATAATTTATCACCAAAGTGCTTCACCACTAACCACCACAAACATATAGAATGGTGTTCACATTTGTTGTTAGTGGCTACGTAGACCATAAACCATTCCGTGATAAGTATATCGGATGGTCTAATAAAAATATTAGTTAACAGATAATATTCTTTGTTGTGATATATACACATTAAACTTCTAGCATTTAGAGGGTGTTTGAGATTGTTTATTTAAAAATATTTATTTAAAATATTTTAAACACCTTAAGCTGCCTTGGGAGTTTCTTATGACCAGCCTTCATCTCTCAAAACCCTAAGAACAAAACCCTAGCCTTCATTTGAGTGTCTGTGAGCCATTGTTGTGATATTGTGGTGTTTTGGATCCTTTGAAGGAGATGAAGCTTGGTGATGAAGCTTTGGTGAACTTGGAGCTTGAAGATCCAGAATCTTCATCAACTTTGCAAGACAATTGAGGTATAAAGCTCTTAACTTGATGGATCATTTGGTTAGATCTAGTTAGGGCTTGTTTTTATGCTTTTTATGCTTCTTTAAGCCATGCTTGAGAGTATGAGCTACTCCAGAAGCTAGGAATGGTAGATCTTGGCATTTTTGAGGTTCATTGTTCATAAAAATGCAAAATTGATGAGTTATCTTGGATCATGTATGAGTTTGGGTGTTTATTATGAATCTTTTTGAGCATTGGGTCCCATTAAGACATGTAAATGAGTAAAGTTGCTAACTTTACGTTTTAAGACATCATTTAGGATCAGATCTGAAAATTGGACATAGTGGCTTAATGGATTAAGCATTAGTAGGAATATGGGTTGGTTGTAGAGTACGTTGGGCGTACCCTGCGCGTACTAGCCAAAGAAGGCGTACGTTGGGTGTAAGTATGAGTATGTCAGGCGTATTTAGCTGCCATTGACTTTTGTTGACTTTTGGGTTTTGGGCCATATTTGGACTACTAGGGTTTTAGGCCTTGTTGGGTCACTAGTCCTTTTGACTTTGGGTCATTGTTAGGCTTTGGGCCTTCTTAGATTTGGACCAAGAATGGGCATTGGGTATCATTTATGAAATTGGGCCAAATTTGGCTTTTGGTGCCATTGGGTTGGGCCTCGGTTATTGGGCTAAGTAAGGAAAGGGTAAAATGATTACCTTGGAAGTTGGACAAATTAGTCATATTCGTAATTATGGTTTATGGCCCAATTATTAATTGGGTTTTATTTGATTGATTAGCACGGGGATTATCCGGATCAACAGTCCGAGCGTTTATCTGATTTTCAGTAATTTGAGGTGAGTCTCCTCACTGTGTTTGGCAGGTTGAATGCACCAATATCGGCCCAAGATTTATTATGATTAGGGTGCTAGTTGTTTGTATGGCTATTTTATGTGTGGTATGTGATATGTATACCGGGTGGAGTCCGATGCCAGGTGGGGCCTGATGTGTGTATTTTATGCTATTTATCTTAGTAATTCTTGCATGTGTTTATGTGTCTGTATGAATGTCGGTCAGGGCCCAATGACAGGCAGGGCCTGATAAATGTGATGGGCAGGGCCCATCTCATGTTCTGACAGATCTGTTTCGAGCGGGGCCCGATGTCGGGTGGGGCCCGATGGTGGGCATGACCAATTATATGTTTGATATGTGTGATATGTGCTATTTTGGGGAACTCACTAAGCTTTGTGCTTATGGTTTTATGGTTATAGTGTACTTCCGGTTCGAAAGAGAAGGGTCCGGCTTGATCGTAGTGCATCCACCCAAGTTTCCATAACTTTATGAATTGGGCCCAAACCCCTCACATGGTCTTACCTTAAGGCCCAACCAAATATTCTAGTCCATATGCTTGTTTTTGGATGGCCCATCAATAGCCCAATCACCAAAGCCCAATAGGAAGGCCCAACTCAAGGCCCAAGCAAAATTAGGGTTTCCACATAAAATGACGATTAGGGTTAAGTGTTTCTTACTTAACCCATTAAGGACTTAATCCATTAAGTCCATCACTCCTCTAGGCCAATCATACGATATTGTCGGGCATAATTCAAAATTCCAATCTAACAGTCCAAACGCGGGTCCCGACAATTCAAAACTAATATTTTCCAAAATTAGGGTTTTCTAAACCCTAATTAGGGTTTCCAACCCAATCACAACCCAATTAGTCCAATGGTTAGATTTTTAGGTTAATTAATGTTTCATTAGGTCAATTAGGGTTTCATTAGGTCGAGCACCACCCACTGCAACCTCGGGCGGTGGTGGTCGACGGTGGCACACGGCGGCAACCACCACCTCACAGCGATGGTGGTTATGATTTTAGGCCAAAACTGTCCAAGCATATCAAATAACAATCCATTCACACACTAATGCACACCGCCACCCAACACGACAGCTGGTGGCGGCAGGAGGCGGCAACACGGTGGCAGCCACCACCTCACGATGGTGGTGGTGAGTTTTTCCGGCTAAAAAATCGCACATCCAACATAACGCCACCAGCACCCACCTAAAACACAGTAAACGCACGCACACATCTACCTTCCACGGTGGCTGGTGGCGACGGGAGATGACAACAAGCGGCAGTAAGATAATGGCCACCATGGTGGTTCCCACGTTTTCCGGCCAACAGAGAGAGCACACACACCATTGAAATGCAACAATAACACACACACTTGCACGAAATCCACTAACACACACACCAACACAGGCACCATTGTGGTGGCAGGCGGTGGCCGGAGCACTCTAGCAAATTCTGAACAGCCGCATGGCAGCGATG